GACACTCAAGCTGATGTGAGCTGTTTGAGGGACTGCCAGCTCCCTTCCCTTGCAGCTCCGCAGAGAGAAGATACTACTCAAACACTCAATGTTATATGAAAACAAGCGCACAAGTCATGAACAGCCAATTCCACACAGGAAAAAGAGGCACATTTTGGGAGGGGCCCTCCCAGCAATAACATTCAGAGGTTGTTAGTAATTTGCCTTGGGTTGAAAACACATAATTCTTTGTATTATTGAAGAGTCCAGATATTTCTAAACAGCAAGATGGTTGCAGAAAAGCAATATGAGCTACACCTCATCATTGATATCTGCATGGAAATAGCATCTCCTTTTCATTGTATGCTAGCTTTTTCCTCAGAATTATTTTCCTAATAATCATATGGCAGTTGGCAGAAGAATGTTTAAAGGTTGGACTAGATGATCTTAGACACCTTTTCCAAAATAAATGATTCTACGATTCTCTGGAATTTTGCATCTCACTTTCAGTTTCAAAACAAATTTGTCTACCACACAAAACAGGGGAAAAAGGATAAGGAACAGCTCTTTGTCTCCTTTCTCTTTCATTTGAACACAAGTTGCAATGCACCTAAACAAGAGCAGAAATTGCAAATGTCATTTCTCTTCCCACAAATGGTACAAATGAATGACAGCAGAAACTATTTCTCCTGACCTAGGTTGACTGCTCTCAAGAAAACAAAAAGAGAAACAAACACAAAAACACATTCAAACATTCCGGTAGACTCTTGCTATGAATCCTAGTCTCTGAAATTCTCTGGGCATTATGATTACGTCAGTCTCTACATCATTATTCCTAGATTTCAGAAATGTAAAGTAATTGAAAATAATCTAAAATAGGAAGCTTCTAGCCTATACAAAATGTACAATGTTATAATTAGTTCTTCTGAATTACTATCAAATTCAGTTTTTAAGATTTTTTAATTCTCATTTTATTACTGTTAGTGACTTTCTTTCAGAAGGAACTGTGGACTTCAAATGCTGAGCCAAATATCCATTTTTCACTGGCTTTTATATGCTATTATAGTGGCCTTTCTGGATCTGATATGTGCAAATCAGAAATTCTTATTCATGTGAGTAACCCTTACCCCTCTCCCCACGGCATTCTTTTAGGGAAACTGAACATGTGACTAAGACTCATCTATGCTGGTCAACTATGTGAAATTAAGTCTAAGCAATTTTTTTTTCTTTTTTATCCAGATAATAAGGTCTGACTTTTTGCTGTGTTTAGAAGCCAAATTGCTCTTAACTCCAGTCTAATTCATCCAATGCTTTACTCAAAAGCTCACTTAATTTTAGATAAAGACATGCTGGCAGTCTATCAGCTGAATCTGATACTTTCTGGTTTCTTGCTTCAGTCTCATATACATCTCTTCTTCTAAAAGAGTAGCCTGCCAAATCCTTTCAACCATATGTTCCTTGAGTATTTCTTTACTTTAGGAAGTAACAGATGCCTGCCTTGGGGGAAAAAAACAATTTATTTCTGTTACTTAGTTCCAGTAAAGTAGCAGAGTTATTTTGCTTTAAGGAAAGGGCAACTAAGCCTGAAAGGAGACTTCTTTTACCTTTAAGAAATATTACATAAGTGGTTTTTACTGAATAATTTATGAATTTATAGAGAGGAGTTATTCAAAATAGTTCAAAATGTACATTCGTCATAACCTTTTCTTCAGCTTTCCACTAATTAATGCTTCTGAAAATTCCTAATTTTAAGTTTCAGGAAGTATCCATGTTTAGAAAAGTACTTCATTTTATGTTTGCAATGAAATATACATGAGCTATTTTATAAATTTTAATGAATCTTTATTAACTTTGGTCAGTTAACATTATTCATTAACAATTTATAAACATTTCAACTTAGCCCTATTATGCAGCATTATAAACTCTTATGAGAGTGTTTGATACAAAACAGGCATAAGAACAGTTCTGAAATAAGGAATAAAACAAATAATCCATAGACTGCTTGCTAACTCAAATGCTTCTACATATGCTAAAAACATACTTTTCCCAAATTAAACTTTCAGGAGCCACAGAAATGTGAGTGGGTTTCATTATGTGAGTGGGTCTACAACGATCTAGTCATGCCTAACTTCAGACCCCAGACAGTGCTACACTCTCAATCTGGAAACAATCCCATCTAGGAGTTATTGAATTCACCTAATACCAGCCCCAGCATAAAATGTAATCTGGGATTAAGGTTCAATTATGTTCATTCATTCGTTCTGGAAAAAGTAATTTTCTGCATATCACTTATTGATCTTGGATTTTTCTAGGCAAATCTGGGTGGGATTTGCTTTGTTAAAAAAAAAAAAATGTAAAGGAAAAAGAAAGACTTATCTTTTACAGTAGTTCTGTATAGAGGTTTTGGACACAGCCTATTCAGCCTTTAGTGAATACTTTCTGTGGCTTTCTGATAACCCTGCTGTATCTGTATCACTTACACTCTTGTTATTGTTACCTCCTCAACATCAGCAGGAATCCAAAATTACTAGTTCTGTTCTAGAGAAGAAGGGCAAAGCTCTGTAAGGTTACCCACAAATCAGGTATGCATGCTGTGAATATGAACCGAACTTTCCTACAACCTAGGCATTAAACAGATGAGCTGCTAGACTGCAGTTCCTCTGGGAGGAAAGGGCTGGCCTGACACAGGCACCTATGGGTAAAGTTATCTCAAGCATCAGGAAACAGAGCTCTACGGATGGGAGCTGTGTCTCAGCTTCCACGTGCACTCATTATTCTTTACCTAACTGCCTCTTCACTCAGCATTTGGGATTTTCTGATCATGCCTAGGTGTTTAATTAATATAAGATGCTCTAGCGTTGTGAATTACTCTGCACACCCAAGTCAGGTGTTTCAGCACAAAACATACACCTTGCAGGGATGCTACTTCTACATTACTCTCTCATTTCAGAGGATCAACCTGGCACAGGGCAGGGGTTTGAATCCAAATGCCCAGTTGTAAGAGCCCTCACCACAGACCCTCATTTTAGGCCAGAAGCATGTACTAAGCAGGAGCAGCTGAGCTATGCACTTCCAATAAAATCTGTCATAGCAAGAAATTTCACCAAACACATTTTATTGTCAGAGGAAAGAGAAATTGGGAGAAAATGGCATTGCTAGGAGCATATGAAGTATATAACAAAATACAATTTGTTGAGGATGCAGGTAAAGGAAAACATTCCCATTGACAGAATGAGTTCTGTGGGCATATTTTACTTTTTTGTCAGGCCTCTCAATCTGTTTGATCAATAAAGTGCATGTTTTAAGCCACTCCAATCCATTCTATACTCAATATCTTAAAATCAATTCATTGGTGTTTTCCATAGACAGCATACCACAAGTCGCTCTCCGTCTAATCCATCCACAAAATGCATTTTGTCGAACTATTGAATCCTCTCCCTTGAATGAAACACATTCCATCAAACCAAGCCATCTGCTCTTATGACAGTATGAATTCTGCCTAATGTGATACGCAGTGCATGAGGAGAGGCATTTAATCTAACACATATGTTTAACAAATGGGAATATTCCTTATTTGGTAAGACACACCTTTGTTCTTTATGAATTTTAAAATACTGCACCAGTGTAAATCAAAAGATGAATTCTATGTAGGTTGTGAATGAAACTGTTATTTACAAAATATTTCTAAAATCTTTTATCATTAGAAAATTCTGGGACAAGGGAATATTAGCTCACTTCATACTTTGTAAACTCCATTAATTTAAATGAAACCATTAAAAAAATGATCTAGTTTATACTCCAAAACAGTTTATAGCGGCTAACTAAGGTAGCTGTGTAGAGGCAGGTACAACAACTATGGTACTATACTAGGAATTCCCTGAAACATGCTTTCTGCATTCAGGTTGGTCATTATTGGTGAATGGAAATCTCTTTATTTACTCCCAAACTGCCAGAAACAAAACTCAACTCTTTTTGAAAAGAAATGGGTTGAAATATGACCTGAATAACATACATTAACATTTCTGACATCTGGTCCAGGAGTCTGTTTTTGCTGTGAGCCAGGGATATTTCATGGGTTGCAAATGAACACTGAAATTGTAACCAACATGTTATTTGTACTCTCCTCCTTCTTCCATGTGAATCACTCAGAGCTTTTCTATGTGGAAAGTCTGGACAGGATATATATGTACATGTGCAGTTTGGGTAAAAGGTTTTACTGGCATGAGTTTGAGCTGACTGCATTAATTCACCATAACCTTCCCAAGTCATCCCAAACAAAAGTAGATAAAATATTTATCTTAGCATGGCTTAATTCATACTATATGCCACTTTCTACAATACTATAATTATTTTAAGTATTGTTATCATTTGGGCTGAACATTTTCTTTTTCTTTTCTTTTTTTTTTTTTTCTTTTTCTGAAACAGCTGCTTATATACACCAAAAAAATACGAAAAGCAGCTGAAATCCCTTATAGAACCAAACAGATGGAAGGATTATAACCTCTATCAGAACAGAGGTCTGTATGTGGGCTTGGGGGAGACTCACTAAAAGCACCATTTGGTGATAAACTTAACACTTCAGAAAGGAAAAAGACAAACTGGAATGTTGAGAGAGAAGCAGCAGAAAATCACGTCTGATTGGGTACTGCAAAATGACCTTGAGAAAAACTGTGAGGAAATTTCTGAGCTGAGTGTATCTGAAAAGAAGCTGGGAACTCTCCTGTTGAAAATAAATAAATGAAATAAATAAAATAAAATAAAATAAAATAAAATAACATTCCTGTTGAAAATCTCCTGCAAAGGAAAGTATGTTTTCTAAAGTTTTAATTAATAAACAAGAATGACTCTGTTTCTCCTCTCACTCAGCCATGTGGTCCCAAACTTTGACAAAAGTACCCAAGGAAAAAAAATGTGACAGATCTTTAGAATTCCATTTTTCTCAAGAATAAACCAAGAAGCATTCTCTCTACCACTTGCAAACACAGCTGCTCTACTTACTCTAACTCTTAACTACACATCTGACAAAATTCTAAATCCTTTCCCCAGTTACAGGATTTTTTTTTTGTCATTATTTTTAATTATATCTAATATCTTTTCACATCAAATAGAAAATCAGTTCATACATATATATGTTCTGATATTTATCAGGGCAAATACACAATATGATCAATATCTAAGAACAAGCTTAATGACACAGGGCAAATTTTTGCCTAGATTTTATTATAGAAAAGCAAAAAATATCAGACGAGGCACACATACATGCTTGAGGCAAAATGTGAGCAGCAGAAAGGCTCTAATGAGCTGACACAAGTATCCAAAATTGGAGGAGATGACGTACAATACAGCAATGGCATCCAGAAGCTTCATTTTCTGCAGGACTTGGACCTGATTGAGTTCCGTGCAGAGGGTTGCCCTGCATCCCATGGAGCCGTATTCACCTCTCTTCAGGATCAGTGCTTTCAAGTCAATATGTTTCACCCAGAAGTGCTAAAATAAAATGTTTAGTTCACCTATCTGATACTTAACTCAGAAGAAGGTCAGAAAGCTTAATTTGGAAAATACTTTGAAAATCTTGGATAAAATATGTGCTCTCTGTGTACAGTGAACAACTTTTTCCTCTACCATTTAATAAAAGCTAAGTCAAAAGGCTCTTCACTGAGCAAATGAGTTTGAATTGCTGACAAATGCACAAAAATTACTACTTAATCAATATTTATTTTATTTTATTTTATTTTATTTTATTTTATTTTATTTTATTTTATTTTATTTTATTTTATTTTATTTTATTTTTTCCCCAAGCTGCAGGTTTTTGCATGCCAAAGTCCTATAAACATAAAAACTGAAATGAATGGATCACCAAATTCACAGCATCACTTCTTATTAAAAACAGTGTTAGGCTTTAGATCTCTTCATAGCAGAGAATCCTTCATTTGAAATGGTAACACCTAAAAGAGACTGATTCAAACAAGGTCTGCATGTGCAGAATCAGAAGTAGAATGCAAGATATATCCACCTCCTCTGCATATCTAACCAACATTTTGTGGCTCTGAAGTCTTCTGACAGACCTTAACTGTTACCTTTTCTGTTGAACCTGAATTCCAATACACCTGAATCAATTGCTTCTTTGCATCACAAACCATGAAATTCCCCATTATCCAGGTAAAGGATAACAAAGATAATATCGGGGAAAAAAAAAAAAAAAAAAAAAAGTAAAAAGGATATTAGCTTACCATAAAATTAAACTTGTAACTTTTTGCAGCTGGAAGGTATAATCTGTAAAAGGCTGACTCATGCAAGATAAGACAGTGCTGCTTCCTTCTATTTTTGCAGTACCTTGAAAACATGAAGAGTATTTTACAAGAACTGAAAACTTTTATAAAGGAGAAAAAAAAAAAAAAAAAGCAATGCTTGTTTGCTTTGATAGGGAAAAGTAGAAAGTTTTATACTTTTTGTTACCTTTCCAATACTGAAGATCATGAAATAAGACAGAGTTCTCTGATCACCCACAATACATTTTTTTAAAACACAGAATCATAAAATCACAGAATATCTTGAGTTGGTAAGGACCCACAAGGATCACCGAGTCCAACTCCTGGTTCCACACAGTACCACCCAAAAATCAGACTGAGACTATTGTCCAAATGCTTCTTGAACTTTGGCTGTCTCAGTGTTATGACCACTTCCCTGGGGAGCTTGTGCCAGTGCCTTCTGGGTGAAGAACCTTTTCCTGACACCCAGCCTGACCCTCCCCTGTCCAGCTCCATTCCTGATGAACCCCAGGATACGGTTGGCCCTTTTGGCTCATATTCATCTTTCCATCAAGCAGAACCCCCAGATCCCTTTCCACAGGGCCTCTTGTCCCCCCATTTGTATGTATATCCAGAGTTGCCCTTTCCCAAGTGCAGAATATGGCACTTCCTCTTTTTAAATTTCACATGGCTGGGGATTGTCCAGCCCTCTGATTTGTCAAGATCTCTCCACAAGGCCTCTCTACACTCAACAGAGCCAGCTGCTCCTCACAATTTTGTGTCATCTGCAAAGTTACTCAGTGTACTTTTGAGTCCTGCATCCAAGTCAATTTTGAAAACATTAAAGAGAACTGACCCTAAAACGGAGACCTGCAGAACCCCAGTGGTGACAGAAATTTTAAAATATAAAATATAAATATAAATATAAAATATAAATATAAAAAATATAAAGTGGTGCTAGAAATTTTAAAATATATTTAATTTGCTCAAAAAGATATTGGATATTGGCTTGAAAAATAGTTTTAAAAATTATTACCAATGTTCATAATTAAGTATCAGGATATGGAATTTAAGGTTTCTGATTTAGGCTGTACATATCCATTATAGTCATATTATTACTGTTCAATATAACCAAGTTTCACAGAAATTTATAATGCAGTCCTTGCTAACAGGTTTTTATGAGTCATATCTTTTTTTTTTTATATATATATATATATATATCTCATTTGCAGTACAGCCTCCTTTCCAGTTCATAAATACATAATCATTCTTTATATATGTCTCCATTTACTTAAAGGTATTTCACAAGTGTTTGGATCTATAGCATTGCTCCTGGTTTGTAATGTAATACTTAAAATTCTTCTGAAAGTAAGAATATAAATCAGACCAACTTGCCTAGCCTGTCTTCAGAGACCTACTGTTTAAGAAGCTCTATGTTAAAGATTTCTGATTTTGTTAAAGCAGAAGATTTGAAATGAAAGATTCCTGAACAAGGTTTGTATCTCAGATCTGACAGAGTCTTGTGGGAGTGATATAACCTGTGCTCTGATATGCTTTTGACTCTGGTCAAAGGCACAACTCCCACTGGCTTCAGGCAGTAAGAACTTGCTCTTTGCTGTCAGCAACACACAATTTTGCTAAAAGAGGAACCTCAGCCATACCAAAGCAAGATTTATCCATGTGTGAAAGTGGTCTGATTCTGTCCAAAAAAAACACTGGTCTGCTTTTTTTTTTTAAGTGCTTGTTTTTTGTTAAGTTCAGAGCAGATATTTTTACTGCTATGAAAGAAACCCAGATACATTTTCACTAAATTGAACAAGTAAAATTATAAAAACAACATGCCTTCAACATTGTTAGCACGGGAGCCTTGTATGAAACTATAACAACAAAGCAGCTATGAGCTATTACTTACACTTCTTTCTGATAGATTGCTTTTGATTTCAGAATTTGAGTGAAGCAGAAAGATGAGTCTTGTGACTCCAAGGGGGGATATTGTGTTCATCACATACTTAGCATTTTTGTCCAATATAAAGTTACTTTTTCTTCAGTCAAAATTTTAACCATATGAAGCAAATGGTCTCAAATATCAAAAAATATAATCAACAACAACAACAACAAAAATAAATTGCATGCTGATTATTATAAACTGGAAGTTAGGATATCAAATCTGGCCCTGTTTTAATACCCAGTTTAATTGCTATGTTTCTCTTGAATTTGAATTTAAGAATTGTATTTGGTTTTTAGTTTATTATCACTAACTGAACCAAAAAAAAGAATATTTCTTTCACTTCAAAAACATCTGGTTCTGCAAAACATTTAGTACAGAAACATCAGAAAATATCTATTTAACCTTGGAGGGACATGAAAGCATCAGTTTGGAGGATTCTCATATCCTAGGAGGAGGATCCTCATATCCACCAGAAATGTGGTGAGCCTTGTCTACCATTAATCTCTGCTCAAAGTATCCTAGGACACTGATCAAAAAATTTTATTACATGGTAAGATTTTACCTATAACAACTTTGCTACAGGTAAGATGCTTCCAAGCTCTGTGGTATTAAAAATACTTCAGTATTGGTATTTGGTTTGAACCAAAGTGTGAAAGAAGGAAGGAAGGAAGGAAGGAAGGAAGGAAGGAAGGAAGGACGGACATTGATATTACATAATATCATAATATAATATGATATTATATGATATGATATTATAATTAATATAAATACATAATATTCATAATATTTTCACAATATTTCATAAACCATACTTCTGTGCAGATATATTTCATGAATGTTTATGAAGGCCTTCTTTCTCATCCAGATCTTCACTTGCTTTGATTTCTTAAATAGTGTTTGGATGAGATTGTTACTTTTATAGAGTACAAAAGACAATCAAAAAATGTAGACACACAACAGAGGGCATGATCATTTTCCACGGGTAGCTTGAGTAGGTGGTAGTGATAAAGTAGGTGGTCACATTAAACTGCGAGATCAAGAGTAGCAGTAATGATGGCTGGGCACCCAACAACTACTGTAAAGCCCACCATAGAGAGAAAAACCCTTTCATCAACCCAAATGCCTGAGTTGTTTAGAGATGCAATAGTGGTAGCTGATGAGTAAGCAGGTAAGATGACTACCATCAATCTTTCATGCTGATGAAAATGTTGCCTAAACATAAAGGAGGAAAATGAAAGTTCTGCAGAGGATTGAAATATTATAAAAGGGCTTCCTCTCAGTGTGGCTTATTTTAATCTAGCAAATTCACCTCTCCAGAACTTTGCACTAAAATTCAATAGTTTCATTGAGATAGCTATTTTCTCTCTGCAAACAAGAAGAACATAATTCAAAATCATAAGTATTACTGAGTCAAGGTGAGCCTATAAAAATGTGCCACTTTCCTTTCTTAAAAAGACAAAAGAAAATAATATCAAATGCTATTAACACTTATGAACTACCTTGAAGAGATGCAGAAAGTAAAAATTAGCTGTAAACTGGCTACTTCAGGGCTGTAGCACTTCTATTGTGCAAAATATAAAGGGCGATTAACAAACCTTTCTGGAAAGAAATAGTGACAGTAACTCCTTGAGACTGAAGGGTAAGTACATAGCAGTCAATTACAGGAAGATAGTAAAAATAAAATAGTTCTGTGATACAAGATTCTGCTAGATATTTCTGAATTTATCCTCCAAGTGTGTGTGTAAGTAATTTTTCCTTTTTTTTTTTTTTTTTTGGTTTGTAGATTTTAAATATTTTTAGTAAAAAGCAGTTTTAAAAGCCTCTCCTTCCCTAATTCAACATTTTTATATATATGGAAACACATTTGATGTATGAAACCCGTTACTCCTCTTGCACATTAACTTTGAAGAAAGCTTATATACCTATCAACTAATACCTATCTTTGTATATTACAAATGTTTAAAATGGTACTCTAACACTGGGGGGGGGTGGGGGGAGGAGAGAGGGAGAACACCAAAATTGTAGCGCTGAACAATACCCTTTTCTTGCAACTTTGTCTGTTCTGTGACTTCAGGATGAATCTAGGTCAAATCACACAAATCACACCACCATTATTGTCACCTTTTCCCAAGCTAACAGGAGTGTGAAACTGAAAAGACTAACACCATGTTATTCAAAAAAAAACACCAGAAAGAGCTTGGGATAAATTCACGACTCATGTAACTCTGTGCAATCAGTTTAAGTTAACTGATTTTAAGTCAACTGATTTGAAATAAAATATGCCAGTCTGATTTGAACCTACGGTTTTGTCTATTTAGTCTATTTATTTGTTGATCTTCCCTTCATAAGTACAGCTGTATCTAGTGACTTTTCTAAATTTGGTACTATAATGATAGGAATAATCTTATTTTACCAATAACAATCAATATTTTTTTGTTTGTTTTTCAGGCTACAGAAGACATTGTTTAATCTGTTTGGGTTTTGTTCAGGTTTTTTGGTTGGTTGTTTTTGTTGTTGGTTGTGGTGGTGTGTTGTTTTTTTTTTTTTTGGTTGGGGGGTGGAGGAAGAAGGGACATTTGCTGTGTATGAAAAACATTTACTGAGTAAATTAACTGGCAGACATGGTAGATAGCTCTCAGGTATTCAAACTAACAGTTAATCATTTCCACTGTGTGGGACAGGAATGGGCTGAGGCAGATTCTGGTGAAAGCATAAGCCTAACACTTCTCATACCAACCTTGCAGCAGCCTTACCTATAGACTTAATCAATTACTATGGAAACATTGTTTCAGAATATTCTGAAATATTGGGCAAAACTTCCTTCAATTAGAGACCAACATTATAGGCAGTGGTGAGAGCAGGCTTCAATAACTTTCTTCTAGCATGGATCATCTCAGAAAATCAAAGATCAAGACAGAAATTTGTATTATTGCCCTTCGTAGAAAACTTGCTCCATTATTTGTATGTCATATTTATAAAAAATAATCTATACATTTATTATCTATAAAATGACAGTTGGTCTTATACCACCCAGCATGCTTAGACAATGTGGATACTATGATAACACTGTCACAGAGTAGAAAGGAAGTGAATAATTGTGATGAATTGGGCAGAATATAAGAATTCAGGTAACAGAT